CTACACTCTTTCCCCCCCCGCCCCCCCTCCGCCCCCCCCCCCCCCCCCCCCCCCCCCCCATCATCCCAACTCTCTATCTCACCCTCCTCCATTCACAACCTCTACTCACAACGTTGTACGCACCTCAAATATATATTTCCTTTGTTTTCCTAGTTGGCACGCAGATAGTTTTGGTTTTATTTGCAGAGTATAAACTTCTACCACCACCCTAGTACAATGAAAGTGAGGGGAAATATCGTTTGTGGTGAAACGTCAAAACAACATTTGAAAAACTGTCCATCTAGAGACAGCATCCCAGAGTCCCAAAATGTCCTGGTTTCTGAGAATAATTTTCATTGGGGACTATTTTCAAACCGTAAAAAAAGACCTGTAAAGTCTGCGGATGATCCTGAGTGGCCTGGACATTGTTTCTCAAACAGAGTTTTTCCAGTATTAAGTTTATATACGAGCACCGACCACACCTCTGTTGTTGTGGGGTGGAGGCATGAGTCTCATTAGCGGACACCTCAAAACCTCTGCAAATGAAACCTGAACTATCTGCATGCTTAGAAGGCTGAAGTGACCCATTAATTAAGATAAAACACAGATCCTCTCAGAAGCTGGATAGACTTTTGTTTCATTTTGTTCATTAGACATAAGCTCATTAAAAAAACTAAGACATTTTCTTGCCATGAATTAGATTTGAAGATTGATAACACTATGAATGGTAACTATGAAGCTACAGCCAGCAACTTGTTAGCTTAGCTTAGCAAAGACTGGAAAACAACTAACCTATAAGTAATGGGCCTCCGGACCATCGGACGTTCGATTACGGGATAACGGGCTGTAGGACAAATGGGCTTTCGTCCAATGGGCCATTTCTTGGATTATTGAGGATTCGGAATAATGGGCCCTCAGAACAATGTCACGGCTTTTTTTTACTTCGGACAGGGCCAGGCCAGCTGTTTTCCCCTGTTTTCAGTTTTTGCGCTAAGCTAACGTTAAGCTAACCAACTTCTGGCTGTAGCTTCATATTTTACCGTACAGTCATGACAGTGGTATCAATCTTTTCATCTACCTCTCGGCAAAAAAAAGAGTGAGTTATCTCCCAAACAGCAGAGCAGTCATGAGCTTACAGCATCTTTAACCACCATGATGGGTACCATGTCAAATGTATTTACAATCAACTTCATGTGTATATCTTGGGTTCAGTATTTGATTCTGCTAAAGTTTTCATGTATTCTCCCATTTCTAACTGTCACTCCCAACCACATGCTGCCATTTTAATACCGCCAACTGTAATGATGTAACTATTTTATAGACACTTGCTGCACTCTATAACATTATCCCCTGTTGTTATTTAACCACCTCTCCCTCTCATTCTTTCCATGTCTGACTCTGTCTTTTTTCTCTCCTCCCCCTCCGCCATTGTTAACTCTTCCCTTCTCCCCTGTTTGGCCTTTCAGTGCAACACCATTTGGCCAGTGTGCAGGAGAGGAAGATTAAGCATGAGAGCGATGGAGTGCAGTTTCCTTACCATGGTTAGAACAACATTAAACATTATACTGTGTACATGTATACATGCTCTGCCTCCGCTCACACCACCCTCAACTTGTGTACATCCTGTCTTGTTTTATCTTCCAAGTCTGTTTGCACTTCCTGTGAGCTGTTCTCCCATTCGTCCTGTTTCTTCTTCTTCTTCTTGTCTTGTGTCTTGTTCTCTGGCTCCGCTGGCCGCTGGGTGTGGTTGTTCCTGCCAGATGTCTGCAGTTGTCCGTTGCGGGTTGACCAAAGCCTTTTGGTAGCCCAGTAGCTCCATAACATCCACCGCCTGTCTGCCTCAAAGACGCTGCTGTACAATCTGTGGAAAGAAATTAGATATCTCTGGTGCATCCAGAACGAAAAAAAACAACACACTTTTATGTCTGACAAACAATCCACTGTATTTTCAATGTGTAATTATGTGCATTATCATGTCCCCCGAAAACCACATTGTTGTCACACACCACATGCATACAAACAGTTTTTCCAAGGCGGTGCGAATTTGTCAGCAACATTCGGCTAAGTGCTCTGGGTGTTGCCATGTTGTTGTCGAGCCCTGAGAGAGAAAGTGATGAAAGACACAGAGGAGGGTGTGTGTGTGTGTGTGTGTGTGTGTGTGTGAGTGAGTGAGAATGAGGGTTTTGTCGAGTTGCGAGCGTTAGCCGCTACACGCAGCCGGTTGTTTGGACGGAGCCGCTGAGTGGCATCCCACCTGCCGTGGGCCTGACTGACCTGAACCGTCTCTTTTTGAAAGGGAAAAAAAATACCAAACCAACACACGACCCAAACAAACACGACTGAAGGCCCTCAGGTGTGTCATCAACGCACGAGGCGCCTTCTGTCTCCGAGACATGCTTACTCACTGGCAACGCTGGTTTACAAACGGCACGCTCACACACACACACAATTATACTTCACTTCTCTCTCTAACTCTCTCTCTCTCTGATTTACATTCGCACACACGTATAAAAAAAACCGCACACACACTCTCTCGCAATCTGGAGAGGAGCGGCGTTCCGCTCCAGATGGCACCTCCATGTGTCTACAGCGAAAGGGAGCTACTGGGTTACAGCAGACATCTGTTCCGGTGATGGTGGCGGTGGTGTTGGGAGCGAGAGATGAGGAGATGGAGAGGAGGGGGCGGAGGAGGGAGGGAGGGAGGGGGGCCTCCCGGCCTCCTGCCCGCTCCGGAGGTGATCTTCTACCTGAACGAAAAAGCTCCGAAGGTATCGCAGGTGATCATGTAATTCATCATCAGGTCCGCCGTCTCCCTCTCCGCTCTGCTCCGTCCTCTCTCCTCCTGCCTGCTCGCTCATGCTGCTCAGGGGTGGGAAACCCCGCTGTGGGGGGGTGATATTGACGGAGAATGCCAGGTAATTATTTGGTGTTGTGGGCTTAAGAAGTGTGGTGTGTGTGTGTGTGTGTGCGGTTGCGGTGCTGCTAAGGTGTCCTCGTTCTTACCTCGGTGTTTACGAGCGCTAACGATGTGTGAGGCAGTTAATGAGGGACACGGCTCTGTTCACGTACATTGTTTCTGCCTCACCTGAATGACGAGTGTGTGAGCTTCTTTTTCTCTCTCTCTCTCTTCAGTGTGTGTGTGTGTGTGCGTGTGTGTGTGTGTGTGTGTGTGTTGGTGCACATGCTACCGGATCAGTTCTCTGACAGTTATGGGGGGAGGGAGGTGGGGCTTGTGTGGTCGCCAGCTTGTTAGCACAGCAAGACTAGAGGGTCATGGGAACAATTGGCCGCCAGTCTGCTTGCGCCGTGTGCCAGGAGCAGGACATAGAAATAATTTAGAAACAAACAACTGTGAGTGTGTGTGTGGACGTGGACTCTCTCTCACACACAGATTAAGGGAGAGATCAGAGTAACTTCTGTTAGCTCTATCAGACAAAGCTTTCATTGGGCATCTGGGCCTCGTTTGCCGAGACGCCACGCAGCACCAGATACGTCGGCAGAGGAGCGGGCTAATTAGGGGGAAATCGCAGAGACTGAAAAACAATATGTATAATTTAAAGGCTGTTGTATGCATAATAAGCCGGTCGTAATTGAACTTGCGCGGCGGCTGGCACGTGGTCTTCCCTGTGCGTACCACAGAGGGAAGCGGAGCGGGCTCCGTTGCAGCGATGCGTTGAATCCACAGCGTGTTTCGGGTTCAGCTCGTCCTCGTGTAAAAATGTACAAGAGCCATAAATAGTGAGATAGCACTGTGTTTTGCTCAAAAGGCCTCGTTCAGACTGCCACTCCAATCAGTTTTTTTTTGGGCACATACAAATGGAATCCAGATTGATTTTACAAAGTCTGGAGGTTTGGTTACAGATGCATGTCAGCCCCGCACGCTCTGCACGTTTAGATCGGATTTCAAAGTGTCTTTTGCGTCACTTGTGAGCAGAATCCATCGTGCTGCTAGCAGAGCGCTGTGGAGCACAACATGGAGGAGGACAGTAGTCCAGGACCAGGACCTCTGGTGACTTACGAATAACAGTGCAGACCGTCCATCTGAAAGATCTGGTTTGAGGAACATATCTGATTTGCCTGAATTCCGAACGAAGCCGAAGCTCATTAGATAGCTAACATTACTTTTTCCTAAATAATGACACATTACTGCGCACCTCAAGAATGAGATACTCCATGAGTAACAGTACTCCGTAGTACAATTTTGTGGTACTCGTCTTGATCATTTCTATTTGATCAATCAAAATGTATTTGTAGAGCACATTTTAACACACAACAAAGGTTGCCCAAAGTGCTGCACATAGATAAGCAGTCATACATTCGAAAAGATTTTATGCTGCTTTATACTTCAACTCCACGACATTTCAGAGGCTAATATTGTGCTTGTATACTATATATAAGTTTGACAGATATACAGTTACTTTGCAGATTAAAGATGTAGAAACAAGCTGTAAACTCTGACATATTATCACCTTTTAAGTTGTTATAGATAACGTTTAACATTTCCTCTATTTTACGCATCCAGCAGCCATGTAGCACGAATTAGCCTCTGAAGCGGCCGATGAGAACTGTGAGAGCGAATCATAACCAGAAGGTTAGGGGCTGAAAAGTGAGTTAAACAAAGCTATAAAGGTTCGTAGGCTCGTACGCAAGAGGTCATGTGATCCATCGTTAGTATGAGAGCAGGTGCTCTCCCTGTGCAGTGCGATTGGTTGTTATATATCACCCGGCGATCCAATCGTAAATAAACTATCATTGCCAGATGGATGACAAGCCTACGCTTCTAATATCCTGCTGACGGAAGAAACGGATTATTCTCCTTCTCTTCTGGAAACTTTTTATGCACCCTTTGTTAGTGTTCATCTGTTCTTCTACGGCACTTTTTATTTATTTTTGTCGACTAGGCCGTATATCTTGTACACACAGAACGTTTGACAAACAATGAAAACCTTATTTTCCTCTCGCTGTAAATTTGGTTCAGAAGCATCTTGTGGCCTTCTGTCTTCACACTGGCTCTTTTTTTTTCTCTCTTCATAATTCAACCAGTGAATAAAAATTAATCTCACCCTGCTCATTGTATCCGTTCCTCCCACCTACGTGCAGAGTCACGTGATGCGCCTCGCTTGAACATAAGTAGCGGCGCCCACCTTTTATTTCTTCTTCTATACTCGCCGGTGCCCACAGAACGTCGCACAGCTGCGCCCTGTGAGCGTTGTGGGTAAACAGTGATAAAACATTTCCCGGTGTGGCATTAAAGAGAAAGCTTTTCAGAAATCTGCTCTCTGCGACTTTATACGCCTCGCTCGTAAAAATCTATTTCCACGTCTCCTCGGGCCATGTCGGAATTACCCACGTCTTTATTCGAGTGCGTTTGTTTTATATGTGTGAATATTGGGTCGTTTAGTACTTTATGAGGGCTTTTCGCTCGCCACGGTTGTTTATCACTGTATTCTTACAACCAAATGTGGAGCAAGTTTGAGTAAAAAAGCGACGGAGGCCTGTGTGTCCACGCCGATGTGTTTTTTCTCTGCTCTCACTTCCTCGTTATTCGCCTGCTTTAAGGATTGCTCTTTCCAGGGTTTTAACTCGGCGTATATTCGACATTGCGGTCCCCGTCAGAGGTCAAATACGCCCCTTGGCGGCGCTCCTCAAACCCTGAGAAGTCTTAAATTGTGCCTTTGGATCACCATACATCAAAATAAGTTCCCCTCAGTGCCCACCACACGAGGCATTGATCACAGGATAGACAGCGCTCCTTTCCTCGCTCTGCGGCTCTCACACTCTTGGCCGTGTTTCTGGTCCGCCGGCGAGCCCGCGGACTGTACTTAGCGAGCCCGCTTTGAACTGAACTGAGGGATGTTTCATGCCGTCCTCCAGCCTCAGCCCGACATTTATAGACAGAGGGGGGACACTTTAATGTATTTGTGTGTGTGTGTGTGTGTGTGTGTGTGTGTGTGTGTGTGTGTGTCGGCCAGGTCGTCACCGCTCCTCCCGTCGTCTTCCTGCCGCTCTCTCCCCGTCCAGCGCTCTGCTGGTGGTTTGCCCGTCGCTCGCCACCCAGCCTGAACATCTTCTGTGTGTGTGTGTGTGTGTGTGTGTGAGAGAGAGTTCAAGCGCTCCTTTATGAAATACTGCACTTCTGAACTTAAGGCAGTAACATAAAATACCCGACTGTCGGATATGACACATCAGAGGAGCCACCGATGTGCGTTTTTTGTTTTTTTGTTTTTTTTTGCGTCCTCCTCTGCAGCCGCATGTAGTCGCGCAGCTCACGCCGGCCTTTGCTTGAAACACGCAGTCGGCCCCCGGGACCCCGTTCATTCCAACGAGGCGTCCCAACAAGCGCAGCGGCTGGCGCGCTTGTTTGAAACGGGCTCCTCTTACATAGTCGCGGTTTTGGGACGAGTCGGACAGTTTGGATCTCAAAGAGGAGGCGTCCCGCAACCAGTAGTGTTTTTTCCAGACACTCCATTGGTGACCGTAGTTGGACCGCCATTGCATTTCCCAGCTCTCCTCTCGCTCTATCTCTCTCGACACTGTGCCCTCTCCCCAACTCCCTCCCGTCACCTCCCTACTCTATGATACCCCCATGCTGCTTCAAAACATGGCCTCTCCCCTGGACCCCTCAAATCCCGCTCCCCCCCTTCCCTCCCCCTCAATCTGACGGACATGGTACAGCCCAAACGTAGAGTATTGGACAGACGGATCGTCAGAACCCATCTGTATGTTAAGCCAATCAACAAATCAATGAATGAATCGAGCGATCAATCCATTGATTTCAATCATAATCATTCGATTCTTGCAATCAAATTAAAAAGTGATGAGCTTAATTTTTCTTTTTTTTTTTAATGAGTAAAGAAGTCGAAGTAAAACAAACTAAACTAAACAAGAAAACAACAACAGGCATGTTTGATTAAAACCTCGTCTCTGTTCTGCCATTTTTGTTGATCCCCTCTTTGCCAGGACTCTCATCGCCTGGTTCTCTTAAGAAGCCGGGGAAATACGATTTCAGCGCCCTGTCCTCCCAGACGAGGTCCCCCCGCATGGCGTTCACCCACCACCCACTGCCAATGCTGGCGGGAGTGAGACCAGGTGAGACCAACCCAGCTCCAGATCCCCCTGATCGCTCCCCACTCCCCACCCCTTTCTCTCTCCCCACTCCCACCCTCACCATCTCCTCCTACCCACCCCAAACCACTCCTTCAGGGCCCCCCCCCCACACACACACCCCCGGCGCAGAGGTGGGAGCAGTGTCTTTGGGAGATGAGAGGGGCTCGTAGGGTGCAGGTCAAGCTGGTGACGGAGCTGCTAGGGAGTCTGGGTGTGGTGTCTTTTCTGGGTCTGTCTGGTGGATGGTTGGCGGTTTCTTCTTCTTTTTAGAGTGGAACAACGGGACCAGAGGGGTCTGCTGCTGCCTATTCTGTCTTTGTGTCTTAATTGCACAAATTTCAGCCGATTGTGAGGCTTTCATGTTCTTATTTTGTTCTTATTGATGTAAATGACACTTGAACCACGTGTCGTTTGCTCACTGACTCCTGGATTATCTTGTCATGTTTGTCATTTCTTGTAACTCTTGTAAAGGTTTGCAGAAAATGAAGACTTACTAAGGTAATATCGTGGGTTCTTTTTGAGGCTGGATTACCAACCAGGGGAAGTGGAGAAACTACATGGGACCCCAGATCTCCAGGTTCACTTTTCTTTGTGGCAGTTGGTTTGTGGGTAATTTCATGGATTGCACTTTTGCTTGGGAGTATTTATTGACTGGGCCATAAAGTGGTTCTTGAGGCCCCATCTTATTGAGTCCATGTGTCAGTATCTTGTTTTAAGGTGACACTAATAACAGTTGGTTCTGCTGTATGTGTTGCACAGAGAGTTGGAGGAGCACGACCCAGCAAGCTGGCTGATCCGGCCATGGATCTTTCCACTTCACTGATCCCTATCTTCTTTCCCATCTTTTGTTTTTACTGCTTCTTTCCAAATTCTCATTGACTTTCTTTTCCTCACACAGTGTGAACAAATTGATCTCAATGTGGATGAACACGTGTTCTTCATTCACACTGGCACTGGTAGAACCAGTGTGAACCCGCTGATCCTCCACCAGGCTTAAACAAGCAGCTCGTGATAACATCAGATATCAAACGGAGCCAGGAGCTCTGACAATAAATCACCACTCCTTATTTTATCACCATGGCACAGGGGGACTTCCTCTTCTTTTTTGCAATGTTCCCGGTTGTGAATTCACCCAGTGAAGGAGCTCACTGGAGATAATTACCCATGTGCTTTAGTTCTGTAGCTTGGCTCCATCAAAGGCTTTAAGCCAGCAAGCAGATGTGAAGCAGTGAGGTTGACCGCCGTGTCATTAAACCTTCCGTGGTTGTTGACAGACCCTACGAGATGCAGCTACAGCAAAGGCAGTCTCCGTACACATGTTCACGCTGACATGCACACACATACACAATATCCCATCCTTGTTGTGGCCAGCAGTTGTAATTTATACAGTTTTGATTTGTGTCTTTTTACACAAACTCTTACTGCAAGTAAGTATAGCAAGCTGGAACTGTTCCCATGCTAGGGTGAAAGTGCCCACCACATCATCAGTGTTGTTGTTTTGTTGTTTTTCTGGGTGGAAGACGAGATCCCAGAGGATTAAGGAGTTGGCGAGGTGGAGTTGAGGAGTGTGCTAGGGCTTGCCGCTCACAGTGGTTTTGGTAGGGTTTGTCCCTCCAGGCCACCAGTGAATCACAGGGCTGAACACGACGGACAACCACTCATATTTACATCGACACGTAAGGGCAATTTAAAGACCCGAATACATGGAGAGCGCCCACGCAGAATATACAAACTCCACACAGAAAGGCTGACTGTGAGGTGGCAGTGCTACCCACTGCGCTAAGACATCACTTAAATAGTATACATCCACATACTGTAGTGAGTCACCTGAACGCTACGTGTTGAGATTGAAATTGTGTGAAAACTAGTTGGAAAGCAAGCAGAGAGGTCTAAAGAGCTAGAAAATTTGGAGAAATGGCTGGAATAGCAAGCTAAAATTAAGGGAGAAATAGTTAGTTAAAAGCAACAGATAAACAGTTGAAATAGTTAGCTAAAAGTAATGGATAAACAGTTGAAGTAGTTAGCTAAAAGTAATGAATAAACAGTTGAAATAGTTAGCTAAAAGTAAGGGATAGACAGTTGAAATAGTTAGCTAAAAGTAAGGGATAAACAGTTGAAATAGTTAGCTAAAAGTAATGGATAAACAGTTGAAATAGTTAGCTAAAAGTAAGGGATAATCAGTTGAAATAGTTAGCTAAAAGTAAGGGATAAACAGTTGAAATAGTTAGCTAAAAGTAAGGGATAAACATGTTGAAGTAGTTAGCTAAAAGTAACGGATAAACAGGTGAAATAGTTAGCTAAAAGTAACGGATAAACAGTTGAAATAGTTAGCTAAAAGTAACGGATAAACAGGTGAAATAGTTAGCTAAAAGTAACGGATAAACAGGTGAAATAGTTAGCTAAAAGTAACGGATAAACAGTTGAAATAGCTAAAGGATAAAGGTTGGAATAATTATCAAACATTTTTGTTTTTCATACAGTATAATCAGTAGTATTAGACAACAGATCAGTTCAAATGAACACATTTGGAAAACAGTCGGTGGTGTTGACGAAGGGGTATTGGAGTTCATCTGACAGGGCTGTGGGGGTACAACAGTTGGGATCCTCTACTCTAGGGGGAGAGCAAAGTAGGTAGGGGGTGTAGGGATTCCCTTTTATCCTGTCTCCCCCCCACCACCCCATCCCAACCCCAACCTGCCCCCATACCCCCAGTGTGTTTGGCCTTCACCCAGTCTCTAATGGGATTAGTAGGGGACTAATAGAAGCAGGGAGATGGCTCCACTGGGGGAGCAGGGAGCCTGGCATGGGAGCAAGGTGTTGCTGGGCTCAGAGGCATAGGCCCTTGTCTGGGGGGTAATGCAACGGGGGTTGGCACTCTCACGAAGTACACTCACACACACAATGTATAAGAACCAAAGAGTGTTGGCAGCCCAACATGGGCAGCTGGGGGGCCTGACATTGGACGGGGTGGGTGTCAGGCTGGCACAGCAAAGAGGAGAACAGGCTTCTAATACAAATCAAGGAGATTTAGTGATGGATATAGGTCTGACAGAGAGGGCTTTGTGTTTAGTCGTTGGGCTCAACCGACTGCTCCCCTCTCACACCTCGCACATATATGCAGCTCTGTTCGGTGCAAATTCCTCTATTTTCCTCTCTTGTAAAGCAAAAAGAAAGGGAATGCTTTTTTTCCCCCATAAGCTTATTAGCCGCCTAATGCTGATAAGTTTTGCATCCCTACACCTGTCGTGTACAAATGCACACACCACACACACATATACATATACATATATATATATATATATATATATACAGCGGGTAAAATAAGTATTGAACACGTCACCATTTTTCTCAGTAAATATATTTCTAAAGGTGCTATTGACATGAACTTTTCACCAGATGTTGGTAACAACCCAAGTAATCCATACATACAAAGAAATCCAAACCAATTAGTTCAGAAATTAAGTTAT